CTCTTTCACAACCAACTCCCCACTCTCCCCAGTTTGCACAAGCATCCCCCTTTTCACGACAACCTGCCCCCCTTTGCACAAGAACCCCCCCCTTTAAAAAAGGCCCTCCTTGCACAACTGCCCCCCTTTCAAAATCACTTCCCTCCCCTTTGCACAACCACCCCCTTTCACAACAACTCCCCCCCAAACTTTGCACAACAGCCCCCTTTTCACAACCAGCTCCCCCCTTTGCACAATCAGGGTCCCCCTTTGCAACCGCCCCCCCTTTCTTTGCACAACTGCTCCCCTTTGCACGACGACCCCCCTTTGCACGATGACCCCCCTTTGCACAACCCACACTTGCACAACTGCCCACCCTTTTCACAACCAACTCCCCACTCTACCCCCTTTGCACAATCACCCCCCCCTTTAAGACCCCTCTTGCACAACTGCCTCCCCTTGCATAACAGCCCCCTTTTCACGACTCCCTCCCCCCCTTTGCACAACAACCCCCCTTTCATACCCCCCTTTGCACAACAGCCCCCTTTTCATGACCACCTCCCCTCTTTTGCACAACTCCCCCTTTACAACCCCCCCTTGCACCACTGCCCCCCCTTTCACAACTCCCCACTTTTCATGACCCTCTCCCCCCTTTGCACAACAACCACCCTTTTAAGCCCCCCCTTGCACAACTCTTTCCTTCTCATGACCCCCCTCCCCCCTTTTGCACAACAACCCCCCCCCTTTAAAACCCCGCTTGCACAACAGCTCCCTTTCACAACCACTTCCTCCCCTTTGCACAACAGCCCCCTTTTCACGACCCCCTCCCTCCCCCCCTTCACACAACAGCCTGCCCCCCCAAATACCTTCCACCTCGAAGTCCATGTGCTGCCATTCAGCGAGACCTGGACAGGCTGGAGAGCTGGGCAGTAAAAAACCGGATGAGGTTTAACAGAAGCAAGTGTAGAGTCTTGCATCTGGGGAGGAATAATTGCATGCAGCGGTACAGGATGGGGATGAGCTGCTGGAGGGGAGCTCTGCGGAGAGGGACCTGGGTGTCCTGGTGGACGACAGGTCGGTCATGAGCCAGCAGTGTGCCCTTGTGGCCAAGAGGGCCAGTGGCATCCTGGGGTGCATTGCACAGAGCGTGGCCAGCAGGTCGAGGGAGGTGATCCCCCCCTCTGCTCTGCCCTGCTGAGGCCTCATCTGGAGCTCTGCGTCCAGTTCTGGGCTCCCCAGCACAGAACAGACAGGGATCTCTTGGAAAGAGTCCAGCGGAGGGCCACCAAGATGGCGAGGGGCCTGGAGCATCTCTGCTATGGGGAAAGGCTGAGTGAACTGGGTCTGTTCAGCCTGGAGAAAAGAAGGCTGAGAGGGGACCTGATCCAGGTCTATCAGTATCTGAGGTGTGGGGGGCAGAATGGCGAGGCCGGACTCTGTTCAGTGGTGAGTGGAGACAGGACAAGGGGAATGGATGGAAACTGCAGCATAGGAAGTTCTGCACCAATGTGCGAAGGAACGGCTGTACAGTGAGGTGACGGAGCACTGGAACAGGCTGCCCAGGGAGGTGGGGGAGTCTCCTGCTCTGGAGATGTTCAAGACCTGCCTGGATGCCGACCTGTGTGACTTGGTGTAGGAACTGCTTGGGCAGGGGGTTGGACTCGATGAGCTCTGCAGCTCCCTTCCAACCCCTACGATTCTGTGATAATTCTGTGAAGTCCTAGAAGATTTACTGCTACCACTGAAATTGCAATAGTGCATGTCAGAGGTCACCAGAGGGGAATTCCATCATTGCCCAAGGCAACCGAGCAGCAGATAAAACAGCCCGTGAGGCTGCTCTACAATCAACAATTACTATGAACCATCTTGCGCCCGAGGTACCACCTCCTCCCCCAAAACAAATTCCCAGTACAGAAAAGGAAACCCTTAGGAACTTAGGAGCCACGGAGTCCGAGGGAAGGTGGATCATTTCAGATGGGAGAGAATATTAAGCAAGGCAGTGACAAGCGCAATTTTAATCACCCTGCATCAAGGCAGTCATTGGGGAGTACAAGTGTGATGCTGTGCTGCAGAAATACGTCAGCACAGGGATATATAGGGGTATATACTCTGGCTAAACAGGTCTGTAGGGGATGTGTAGCGTGCCAGAAAGTGAATAATAAGGCTATCAGACACCGGCCTGAAGGGGAAAGAGAGCCGGGGATTTGACCATTCCAAAGTACTCAAGCAGATTTTACATAACTCCCGAATGCAGGGAAAATCAAGACTCGTTCGTGTCAGCAGAGCATTGAAGTGGTGGGCAGAAGCATTTCCGTCAGTATCTGCCACTGCAAATGTGGTGGCCAGGGTGATTTTGGAACACATGATCCCTAGGTATGGAGGGGTAGGATATGTGGATTCAGACCAAGGCAGTCATTTCACTTCACACACATTACAGAAACTAATGCACGCTTCAGGGATTAAATGGGAATTTCATACCCCCGGCACCTGCCGTCATCAGGAAAAGCAGAAAGAACGAGTCAGAGAATACAGAAGCTCCTCACAAGTTGGCCGTAGAGACTCGGCTCCGTTGGACCAAATGCTTGCCTCTGGCACTTCTCCGAATCCGTACAGCACCAAGACAGGCTGTGGGGGTTTCTCCATAGGAAATGTTATTCGGGTTCCCATATCTGGGAAAGAAAAATGAGGTACCGCAGTTTGAAACTCAAGATGTGTTCCTTAAGAACCGCAGACTCGGACTGTCTTCCTCACTATCCTCTCTCAGGACCCGAGGACTGCTGGCACAATCATCGCCTCTGCAATTTCCCATTCATCCATCCCAGCCTGGAGGCTGGGTGCTCATCCAGACCAAGGAGGCAAAGCTGCAACCCGACTGCGAAGGACCGTTCCAAGCAGTTGTGAGAGCAGAAGCAGCTGTCAGGACAGCGTCGTGGCTTTGTGAGTTTTGCCTTTCGGTATTCCACATCATACCATCGTGTGGGGCACTGGGACTTTCACTGTCAGTGCTCAAGTCCTGGGTACCTGCCCAGAAGAGAAGAAGAACTGCATTCCCCAGGGGACCTTGCGCTCAGGGCGAGGAGGTTGAACTCCTGGCAAGGTCTCCTGATGCTCTTTCTCGCCTGCCCTTCGTCCTGGGCGCTGCTCCCGTCTCCCCGCTGCTCAGCTGCACTGCGCATCTCACCTCAGCCTTGTGCTGAGGCCTGTCCACCTTTCGGACATTCTCATTATATTTGATTTATTAGCTTCCATTCTGATTATATTGTATTATAGTGTGTTCTCTTGCATCCCGCTAATATACTTAGTGAATTCGTTTGTTTCTCCTCAGATCGGTGCCGCTGTTTTAATTATTTTGGGGTCCCCTGTTTCCTTTTTTTTCCTGAGGATCCCTCCGCCCCACTCGTCACGGAACCGGGCCGAAGCAGCCCTTAAACCGTTGACAGGGGGCACAGGGCGGAGGGGGCAAAATTAATGGGGGGGGGATCACAGGATGAGGGAGGGGGAGCCCAAGAGGGGGGACACAGGGTGGGGGGGTCAGAAGTGGAGAGGGGAAAAAAGGAATTGGGGGGTGCGGGGTGGGGGGGCACGAAATTGTGGGGGGATATGGGGGGCACAACGCATGGAGGTTGCGGGGGGGGCACAAAATTGCGGAGGGGGCACAGAGTGGAGGGTTAGGGTTAGGGTTAGGGTTAGTTAGTTAGGGTTAGGGGGAGAGGCAAAATTAATGCGGGGGGCACAGGGTTGGGGAGGCACGGGGGGGGTCAGAAGGTGGGGGGGCACAGGGCAGGGGGTGTTCAAAATTGTGGGGGGGGACACAGAGCGTGGGAGTTCATAGGGTGGGTGGGGCAAAAGGAAGGGGGGGTCAGAAGGTGAGGGGGGGCACAGGGCTTTGGGGAGCTGCAGGGCGGGGGGGCACAAAATTGGGGGGGGGCACAGGGTGTAAGGTGAGATACAGTGGGGAAGGGGGGGGCAAAAGGCCCGGGGGGGGCAGAGGGTGTGGGGAGGGTCACAGAGTTGGGGGGGCCACAGCGAATGAGGGGGTGAGCAGGTGAGGGGAGGGGGCGCAAAATTCTAAGGGTTGGGGGAAGCACAGAGTGTGGGAGGGGCAAAATTCGGGGGGGGGCACAGAGCTTTCGGGGGGGGGGAACAGGGTGTGTGTGGGGGGGTTCCCCCATTTTGGGGATGGGGTCGAAGCCCCTGCAGACCACTTCTGGGGAGGGGGGGCGAGGGGGGGTCCTCACATCCATGGCCCGCGCTGTGTTGCGCTGTAGCCATCGGATCTCAGCCTTCAGCCACCACCTCCGTTCCTCAGGGGTCTCTAAAATGGGGGGGGGGCACAGGAGGGGGGTCAAGGACATCAGTTGTACCCCCCCCAATTTAAGGTGTCCCCCCCGCACTCCATTACCTGCGCTGTGCTTCTGTCCCTGCAGAAGGGTTGGGATGTGGGGGGTGCCCATGGCGGGGGGGGCGTTAAACCTGCATGGGGGGTCAATAGGGTGGACAGACCCCCCCCCTTATAGACAACTCCCCCATCCCCAAAATGCTGCCCCCCACCTTCCCCATAGGGGGGTCTTCAGCCCCCCGCCCGACCCCCAATTCCCCCCCATCCCAAATTCCTCCCTCCCCAGTTCAATCCTCCTTGCCTCCACCGCCCCCCCCCCCTCCCAGGGTCCTCCAATCCTCCCCCTAATGTGATCTGCAGCCCCCCCGCCCCCATCCAAAGACCTCCCCCCCAGAACCTCAGTGCCCCCCCCTCGAACCCCAAATTCGCCCCCCCCCCCCCCCCCCAGCACGCACAAGTGCCGCTCTGCTTCCACGCGTTCTTCCTGTCGCTACGGCAACCAAACGCTTCGCTCCCATTGGCTGACCGCCGCCGCCACACTCAATATGGCCGCCGCTCCCCGCGCGCAAACTGGCGGTGTTGTCACATCCAACATGGCGGCCGCGTCTCCGGGACGGTACTTCCGGGAGAACGGCGCACGCCCGGAACTTCCGTGATTTGGCTTCCGCTTCCTGCGTGTGGGCTGTGCACCCAGCACGAGTGGCCGTCTGTGTGGTACGGCGGGCGTCCGGGGGGAACTGGAGGCCTAGAAGGGGTTTGGGGGCTCTATAGGGGTCTGAGGGTGAGGGTCTGTAGGGCTTTTGGGGGGGTGTTTGAGGGGGTTTGGGGGCGTCTGTGGGGATTTGAGGGCGCTGTGTGAGGCTGGGGGGTCTTGGGGTGGGGGCTGGGGGGGTCTTGGGGAGTTTCAGGGTCTGTAGGGTGAAGCAGGGGGCCAATATGGGCCTGTTTGGGGAGGAAGCGGTCTGTGGGGTGGCTCCATCGGGGAAGGTTTGTAGGGTACCTGGAGGAGCCTTGAAGGGGGAGGGCTCTTGGGGGGGGGGCTATAGGGGAAGGGGGGGGGGTCTGTGGGGGTCTCGGTGGCGATTTGGGTGAGTCTGAGGGGTCTGTGTACGTTCACGTGGTGTGAAGGGGGGAGATGGGGCACTGAGGGGGAGCGGGGGGGTCTGTAGGGGGCTGAGGGGTCTGTAGGGGTGGTCTGCGTGGGGGGGTTTTGCGTGGGGGGGGGGGGGTCTCCATGGGGACGTAGGGGGGTCTGAATACGGCCATGAATGGGGTCTGTATGGGGGGGGTCTGCATGGGGAAATGGGGGGTCTGCATGGGGCTGGTCTGGTCTGTATGGGGATATGGGGAAGGGATTTGTATGGGGACGTGGGGAGGGGGTTTGTATGAAGGGGATCTGTAATGGGGAGGGGGTCTGTATGGGGATGTGGAGGGGGTCTGCGTGGGGGGGTCTCTATGGGGGGGAAGATCTGGGGGGGTCTGTATGGGGAGGGATCGGTATGGGGGGCACTGGGGCTTTGTAGGGGGAGCAGCAGGAGCCCTATAGAGAACCTTGGGGGGGGGCTTTAAATATCCCCGGGGTGATCTGTGAGAAGTCGAGGAGCATCTATAGGGAGCTGGGGGGGGGCAGTAAGGGGGGGGTTATAGATTCCAGCCCCCCCTCCCCTTTACACCCCAGCCCCCCTTCCATGCTGCTGCCCCTGATGCTGGTCCCCCCCCCGGATGCTGTGGAGGTGACGCGGCCCTGCGGCGTCTCACTGAGCACTGAGTGACCCCCCCCTTGAGCTCCCCCACATGAGGACACCCCCCCTTAACGCTCCCCCCCCCCCGCCCCAGACCATCACTTCTGAGGAATCCCAGCCTTTCACCTGCCTTGACGGTTCCTCCACCATCGCCTTTGAGTGGGTCAACGACGACTATTGCGACTGTCGCAACGGCTCTGACGAACCTGGTGAGCCCCCCCTGCTCCTCCCCCTCCCCCAGAAGCGGTCTGCAGGGGCTTCGACCCCATCCCCACAATGGGGGAACCCCACCGGGTGGCCCCCCCACACCCTGTGGCCCCCCATCCCCAAAGCTCTCTGCCCCCCCCATGATTTTGCTCCCCCCCTGCAACCCCGCAATGTCGTGTGCCCCCCCCTCACCTGCTGACCCCCCTATTCCCTGTGCCCCCCCCACTTTATGACCCCACTGTGTCCCCCCCCACATCCTGTGCCCCCCCCCCCAGTTTTGTGCCCACCCGCCCTGCAACAACCTGATGACCTGTGCCCCCCTCATTTTCCAACCCCCCCGTTTGCCCCCACCCCCCCCAAACCCTTGCCCCCCCTCGTTTACCCCCTCACCCTTTGCCCCTCCTTCCCACCCTTATCTACCCACAACCCCCCACACCCTTGGGCCTCCAACCCCCTCACGCCCCCTTTCCCCCCGTCTGCCCCCCCCCCCACCTCCCCAAAACCCTTGGCACCACACCCTTGGACCCCCCCACATCCTTGGTGCTCCCCCTCGCTCCCCCCACCATTCACCCCCACCCCCCCCCACCTTTCTCCACATCCACCCCTCCTGCACACCCTTGGGCCCCACCTTTTACTCCCTCCCACTCTTTCCCCCCCCCCCTCACCCTTACCCCTCTACCCCCACACCGTCTCCCACCCCACACCCTGTGCCCCCCCCACAATTTTGTGCCCCCCTGCCCTGCACCCCCCACTCCTGGGGTCCTCCTCCCTGACCCCCCCCTCTTCCCTCCCCCCACTTCAGGGCCCTCAGCCTGCCCCAATGGCCATTTCCACTGCACCAATGCTGGGTACCGACCCCAGAACATCCCCTCTGCCCACGTCAATGATGGCGTCTGTGGTGAGTGGGGGGGGTCGTTGTGGGGTGTTTTTTAGCGGGGGGAGGAGGGGGGTGGGATCAAAGTGTCCCTGGGGGGTTAATTTGGGGGCGCTGTAGGGGATTGGGGGGCCTGGGTGGGCACTGAGGCCCTCAAAGCTCTGTGTGGGGTGGAGGGGGGTGTGGGGAGGATGTGGGGTCCTATGTGGGGTGGGGGGGGTCCTTGGGGGGTGGTGGTTGAGGGTATTGGAGGGGTCTCAAGGTGGGGGGGGGGCACCATCTGTATCTAGGGGTGGTGCTTTGGGGGCTGTGTAGGAGATGGGGGTTCCTAGAGGGGCACTGAGAGACCCCCGAAGCTCTGTGTGGGGTGGAGGGGTTGTGGGGGTCTGTGGGGGTCTCAGTGGCGATTTGGGTGAGTCAGAGATCTGTGTAGGGTCACGTGGTCTGAAGGGGGGAGATGGGGCACTGGGGGGCAGCGGGGGGTTCTGCAGGGGGCTGAGGGGTCTGTAGGGGGTGTGGAGGGGGTTTGTATGGGGGGTCTGCGTGGGGGGGTTTTGCGTGGGGGGGGGAGGTCTGCATGCGGACGTACGGGGGTCTGTATAGGGCCATGAATGGGGTCTGTATGGGGGGGGGGTCTGCATGGGGACATGGGGGGGTCTTTATGGGGCTGGTCTGGTCTGCATGGGGATATGGGGAAGGGATTTGTATGGGAACGTGGGGAGGGGGTTTGTATGAAGGGGGTCTGTATGGGGGGGAAGCTGGGGACGAGGTCTGTATTGGGGAGGGGGTCTGTATGGGAGGGTCTGCATGGGGATGTGGGAGGGGTCTGTATGGGGGGGAAGCTGGGGAGGGGGTCTGTAGGGGGGTCTGTATGGGGAGGGATTTGTATGGGGTGGTACTGGGGCTTCGTAGGGGGAGCAGCAGGAGCCCTGTAGGGAACCTTGGGGTGGAGGGGGGGGGCTTTAAATATCCCCAGGACGGTCTGTGAGAAGCTGAGGAGCATCTATAGGGAGCTGGGGGTCTGTGGGGCTGGGGGAGGCCAGTAAGGGGGGGGTTATAGATTCCAGCCCCCCCTCCCCTTTTCCACCCCAGCCCCCCTTCCATGCTGCTGCCCCTGATGCTGGTCCCCCCCCCGGA